TTCCCTATTCCCTTCCACTTGCAGCTGAGCACTGATGATGTCACCATGAGCATCTGATTCCCCACAGACAAGTCTGGATCTCACCAAGCATCTCCGTAACGCAAGCCTGGCTATGAATCCACGCCATAACTGCCTAGTATCAGCATTATTCGGTACACAGAAGGTAAAAGCATATTTAATAAATTACTTCTAAGTAACAATTTGAAAAGGAAGTAAAAAAAAAACCCCACCACCACAAAAATCCTCATTCTGAACTCCTTGAGGATCTCTTTAACTGTATGTCTAAGCTGCTTGCCAATGTCCTTTTCAACTCATCCCTTTAGACTAATTCTTCCCCTTTTTATTGGGCTTGTAGGTTATTGGGAAGAAAGCAAAAATAGCCCTGGGACATTAACCTTATAATTCAATGTAGTAAACTCAAAGCTCCCATTTTTCAAGCTAGCATTTTAAAACCTTAAGGCTTTTAGCAGCTAATGCTTTGCTCTTCAGGAGAGTCTGGAGTCTAAACGAGCTGACAAGCAGAATCTCTCTTCTGCCAGCAAAAAACCTTTGTAGAGCAGGCGTACTTTCCTTTATTATGAAAATAATTACAGATGTAGAGCTCACAAAACAGCACTCGTGCTAATTAGATAACTGTTTGATCTTCCACCTCTGTACGGAGATCTCGCATGAATGGGCAGAGGCTGGCTGGAGCATGACTTCATCCAAATTCATTTTGACAGGATGATTCAGCTCCGGCGCAAGCCGCGTGTCCCTCCATGTGACATCTGACTGCAGAGATCACTTTATATTCCTAAGGCCCAAACCACAAATAGGACTTCCAGTTCTCCCGCTATTAAAAGCACAACAGGAACTTGCTCGTTTACAGCTAGAGCAGCAGAGATTTGTTTCAGTTAGGAAATGCAACAGCACATGGACAGGAAAAACGAAACGTGTGAAGGATGGAATCAAAGAGAAAGCGTGGCTGGTCATTTACCTTGGTCATTAGGCATTTTATCTGAGGATTCAGCTAGTGGGACAGGCACAGGGAGGGAAAAAACAAGAGAAAGATCACAAGGCTTGAAGGAGCGAGAGACAATTTCAAGTTTCACACAGCATAAGCAGACTAGCCAGAGCTCTCATTTCTAACCACCGATACTCATACGGAAAAAGTATCGTTAGAAAAATCTACTTACAGCTTTGTATTTTTCACCTCTCCTTGGAGCACGTTTTTTCCAAGCGTTCATACTATCTCACTCGCTCCCCGTCACCGAGCAGTTCTTGCCTTAAGAGCCTGTTGTGTCCCACTGGTTCCCATTGTGTCACCCGAGTCACTAGCGGGCAGCTGTGCCGCTGGCTACCGACTCCTGAGCCCGCTGCTCTGCACGACTTCGGCGTGAGCAGACGTGGCACACGAGACCTGGCATCTTACAGTAACTAAAAACCGGTTTTCTAAAAAGCACGTTTAGGACAGGGACCTTCGGCATTAATAACTCGATGACCTAAGTGCCCCCAGTAATTGTGAAACAACACAATTAATCAAACAGCTGAGCAAAATTTGCATATGTGTTGACTACCTGCAAGAGCAATGCGGTAGCAAATGTTATTCTAGTCAAACTCCACTGTCTTCCTGCCTTTTCCAGTTCAAATACAGAATTCATGCTACTGGTCTGTTACCCCTATAGAGGCTGCATTCAGGAAACGAGGAGGGAGGTATTGGATCCACGTGACACTTTACCTTTTGGGGTTCGGAACTGAACTGCCTCGGACATAGGCCCCATGCCCTTCGAGTTGCGGGCCTGGATTTTGAAATAATACGGCGTATCGAGGGTCAATTCTTGTATCTGATGGGTCAGTCTGTTTCCCACGACGGGTTCAATAACCCAGTCGTGTATTTCAGCATTCACATCCGTACTGTAGTAAATAATGTATCCTGTTCAAAGGGAAAAGCAAAAGAACCTTATAGATAAAAGGACAGGACAGTCATAAGATCTCGCAGAAAATATTCTATTGACTTGTAATGATATCTGCTCAGCTAAATGATTATGGGTTTTCTGAAAGTGTATTCTTACTTTTTCAAAGACTAAGAATGCATTCAAATATTAGACAGCCTCTTCATCTTAAATTCTAAACTGTTCATAAGTATTTGTTGGGAGAAAAAAAGCCACTTAAAACATGAAAATTATTTTTCACCACTGTTCATTGAATATAGATAAACTCTCTTTACCTCTTCATAGACCAAATCCTCAAAGTATCAATATTTACAGAAAACAGTTAACATTAAAACAACAAAACATTCTCATGCACAGCTAAAGAACATGTGTTCAGTAGTTTAATTATTTTATTATTTTTCAGATTATTAACACAGATGACAATAATCTGAAGAGAACTGAAGTTTTCTTGCATGTCACAGAAAAAAGGTAAGGGAAGAATTTATGATCTGTTATTAAAACACTGCAATTACAAACCAATATGAAGTAAAAGCTTTATAACTTTTTTTATATAAGAAACACAGAGCCCCAGCATAAAATAAATACTTGCACCAAAACAGGGCTGGGTCATCAGCTGCTTCATGCACAAATTGCTGCTTCCCTTGTCCCACAGACCCCCAGTCTGGGGGTTACCCTACAGAAGGGGGGACGTTCTCCAGAGTGACGGCCACTTCTTTAAAGCAACTGCAAATACTGCCGATACCCCAAATTCACGGAATTCCCAGTAGCCAGGATGGCGTGGAGGGTGACGCTTGAAACGCCAGTTGTAGGTCTGACACGCTTAATTTCTTCCCTTGGTGGCCCAGTAAATTACTGGGGAGTAGATTTAATAATTTGCTGCTTGTACAGGTCACAAAGCAACGTATCAGTAACTTGTCTAAAAAGGGGCAACATATATATATAGTGACAGTTCAAAGCACCATATATAGCACAGTGGCACAGGACTACTGAATTAATTTATGACTGTACTAATTAGTCAGCAACTGTAATGATGCACAAGCATCTGGAAGCACCGTTCAGTATTCCACATCCATCCTGTCCGCATCCTTACTGGAGATGAGAGCAGAAAGGACAGGTACTGCACAGAGGTGCTGTCCAGCGCACGCAATTACATCATCGCTTCGTTTCTACGGCACTGCTCCATGCTCAGGATGAAGGAGCTGAGTTAATGAACAATCATGGAGTAAGAAGCGGCTTCTCTGCTGGCAGTGGCTCTCCCACCAGATGGCACTGGGCCCACGCGGCCCTGGCACGCCTGCCCTGCTTCCCTGGCAAACTGAACCCAATGGCTGAGGGACTCAGACTTAACCCAGCACAACTGCTTTCGATTTTTTTAGCTGTTAACTGCTGCTTATGCAAAACCTAATAAATCCTATACGTTTTTGTCTGACACATATGAATAAACGTAGGGTTCTCCTTCACGGCACAGACATTGCAAGGAGATTTTTCACCTGGAAAACTGAAGGTGGGAGATAATTTTGCTAACTGCATTGTGCAAGTAAATGCTGATCCCTCTGTACGTCGTCTACCCTTTCTCATGTATGTGCCCGAGGTAAGATGGCAGGCTTTTCTTTGTAGGAGCATATAGAACCTGGGGATGTGTGTGCCTGACGTTTCACACCTGTCTGAACGACCCCACTGACCACTGGCAACCAAGGCCTTTAACCTGCAGTTAAGATAAAGGCTCCTGTTTCTCCAGACAAACCTTCCTTCTCATATAGAGGAAGCATCTTGTTGATAAGAAAATAACGCAGAATTGGCTTTATAGCCGATATAAAAATACATATACACGACATATAAACAGCTGCATGCGTGCAGAGACACACGAATGGCTCAGACGGGCGTTCCGGTGCGGAGTGAGCTGCATCCTTACAGCTCCACTCGACAGACAACACGCAACCCCTCCTGCCCTAATTTTTTAGTGCTGACCCCAGAAAGACAAAGAGAGAACCTGTTAGAGCCAAGGGTCCTACCTGCAGCCTCTGGGCTGCGTGCACAGAGCGCTCGGCCTTTTAGGGGTCTGTCTTATGGCTTACTTGAAAGTTGAGTGTAATTACTAAAGGTTAAGGTCTCCATTTCAGAGGGATTTGATTAGTTTTTGTTTCCTGTCTAGAACCTGGGCTGCAGTACTGCCTAATCGGATGCCAGTTGGTGACAGGTTTCAAAGACTCGATTCTGCACCGGAGTTAATTCTGGTAACAAGAGCAAAATCATACACTGCAAACTATACGCCAAAAAAAATCTGCTTGAAGCTTAAAAGCCTAGGGTAAAAAAGGAAAATTGAAGTGAATTATTTCAAAAAGCCTTTAGAAATGTGAATCCAAACAGAAATTACAGGAAGGAAACAGTAATTATTATTTTCTGTAAAGTGATTTATCCTACGTGAAAGTGATGCAGTTACAGAGGCAAATAACAGTTTACTCCTAATGGTTGTGTCAGGGGACCAATAAACTGACTTTAAGTCTGTTCTGTGCCACAAAAATGACACAAAGATGACAAAAAGCACTGGGCTGGAGTCTTCTACATAAAATCCTGATGGGCCAGAAGCATTATCGATGTATTTCTGGAGGCACGCTATTAGACTAGCACCAGCTGATGAAGGCAAAGGTTATTGAGATATTTAAACTTTCAATTATATTTCTGGTTAGACTCCAATTTCACACTGCAGTTAGTTTATATCTTCATATATTTTTACTAGGTACAAAAGTAAATAATTAATCTGAGCTACTAAAAAGATTGACAAAGAAGATATAGACCTCTTGGCTAGCTCGAGGCTAAACCAGAACACGTTCACATAGTTATGCAGATTATATCCTGCTGTTAACCAGGGTCTTATCTCTGCCCTGATGGCTCATGCAAACTGCACCTGTAATTTTGCCGTTGGCTTCGGAAGGAGGCTGCCAGTTCACAATTATCGTCCGAGGTTTTCCCTCTTTGCTCACCACAGTCACGTCTTTGGGAGGAGAAGTAGGCACTGCAAAGAAACAGAAGCCAGGCTGTCAGAACCAGGTGGCCCCATTTCACTGGATGCAAACAAGTAACCTCAGCACCTTCGCTTTTTACTTGCTTGACCAGTGGAAAAAAGGCACGTACAAGAATGAAACACTCAATGGTCCATCTTGGAATAAATCCACCATCCTACTGTAGTGGTCTTACGGATTTACTCCGTGCAACTGGGAGATGCCATCTGGTGTGCAGCATCTCCTTCCCATAAGGAGTTACTGGTTTCTCAGGCGGTTCTGTCACCCGACGCCGTGATTCACGACCGAACGAGCCCACGTGTCTTCCAAAATACACCGTCTTTGTGCAACTCTGGCCGCTGGGGTTAACGACTGCTCACCTGCGTGCGTTTGGTCGTCGTCAAAGTTACATGAACTTGTGAAATAAATACATTTCTCATGTACAGGCACGCAAGATATCTCCATGTTTTCCTGTTTATGGTGGGACCAAGATCCAGTAATGCCAGTTTGCCACTCAAATCTGACTCAGCAAATCCACCCGAGATTTAAAACCACAATCCAAAATTACTGATTGACTTGAGAATCATTTGTGATTTGCAAGGAAACCTGCACCACAGAAGCATTTGAAATCTAGAAATATTGGCTGAAGACAATTGTCCAGCCTTTTTCCCTGGGTTGCCAGAGAGCACGACTGGAGGGGGAGAGCACTTCCTTCTCCCACCAGCCTCCTCCTGCCCCAAGTTCGGGAAACGGCACGAGCTGCTCCAGCGAACGGCTGAAACCCGAGACCCTTCTCGCTCTGAACTAAAACATCCAGCTGGGGCTTGGATTAATGGCTCTCAAACACACAGAGCCCACGTCTCCAAAGGTGCATTATCCAGAGGCAGTTTGCAATGCCAAATGATTTTTTTTTTAATGAAAAACTGGAGACTCCTAATTAGGTACCGTGTAGCAAAGTAAATCCGCCGCGGATATTTAATACTATAATAGTAACGTTTTGTGCTTACGCAGTGCTTTCTGCATGTAAAGAGCTTCATGTATATTACCTATAAGAAATTAATCTGTCAGTCCTCTGGGATGGCTATTATCCCTGTGCAGAAAAATAGCTGGAAACCAGGGATAGCAAAAGCTCAAAAGTTATTCTAACTATTACCCCAAGTACTTAAAAACATGCTCAACAGAAATGTACAGACATAAAGCACAAGTCAAGGCCCTATAGTGAGCTTCAGGGAAAAAAACTAAACCAAGACTTAGCCCTCGAGAGATTACTAACTCACAAACCAGCACTGAACCCAGTATCCCATATTTTTCTTCAGCATTAACTGAGGAGTAAGTCCTACGCAGCGTTGCTACTCAGGAGTATTCAAAAATAACGAGTCACATGCTCAGGAATTTGGCGAGTAATATAAATCACAAGATCATTATGGGAAAAATATATTTAGCCTTTTTTTCTTTTTCATTTGCTTCTTAGTTCCCAAGCTTTTAGGTCATATTTGCAAATATTCTTTACAACCGCCCCAACTAGACATTTACTTTCTATTTAAATGAAAAGAAATGAGACCTCCTGCATCTCTCGCCCTCCTCGCTCCTGGACTTTTAGGGTTTCAAATTCTCTTTTAAAAACTTTATTTGTGCACCTTTGCAATCCCTCCTCTTAGTGTAGAGTTACGGAGAGCATTGTATGTCTGTCAGCAAAAATACCAAATCAAGTGTTTTAATGTGGGCTGGGCACAGCAATTGGGATGGGAAAGGAGCCTCAGTCCAGACCTGCGCTGCCAGAAGAGCAGCTGACTCCACATCACGGGATCCCCACCAAAACCTAAAGCAACTGAAGGTCACAAAGGGTTTATGGCACTTCAGAGAAGTTAGGAGCTTTCTGATTTTATCCTGGTTTTGCTTTTTCTTATGCCTCGTTATAGAACGTTTGGATGATCTCACCAATTCTTTGCACGCTTGATTTTTTTTGGCTGGATTGTACTTTAGCATGAGAACTACAGAGTAGTTTGGACAGGCTCTCTTTTGTCCTTCCAGTTCAAACAGGGAGAAACCCAGGCATGATAAGCAGTAAATTTAATTGCACAAAGATCATTTAAGACTGGAGGATAAAAAGAGCTAATGAGGGACAGGTCCTGGCCCTCGCAGTTACTCAGTGGGCACAAGTTCCTCCCGGCGGCCACAAACCCTTTTCTGTTCCGTGCTTTGGGAGCGCGACATTTCGACAGCACTGACAACTGCGACGGCAATTCCTGCCAAAGGACAGGAATTTAGGACTGATTTGGATGTCTTAATTTCTATGGGGATTTTTTTTTTTCTTCGTTTGCCCCATGCACTTCCTCACCCTGTAGTAATTATCATCATAAATACAGCAAATTTTAATTATTTGCTGAAGTATTTTTTTTTAATTTGCTACTAACATGCTATTGCTGAGATGTTTCAAGTCTGCACTTCTTTCTTCTCTCCTGTCTGTGAGCTGTGGTACATTATTCATTACTTCCCTGTAATTTGATGCAAAGTCTTTTGCATGCAATCATCCCTTTGAATTTTGAAGTATGTTGTTGTTTTTTAATCAGAATTTCTGACTAAACCATAAAGAAAAAAAGCCCCCAGCAAATATTCACCAGCATAATCGTTTTATATACACACTTTCCCTCCTCCAGCATTCCAGCAGGCTCGTCAGGAAGGCTGGCCCTTCCAGAAAGACACGAAGCAGTACCTAATTCAAAAGTTGTCCCGTGTGCTGTCATACTCCAAGTACTTGATCTTCGACCTTTAGTCACCATCACGGAGAATTCGTACAAGGTGTTTGGTTTTAACCCCGTCACTAAATAGCTCAAAGTGGTCGCGTTCGCAGTCTGAAAGAAAAACAAAGTGTCAGTAACTTCTGAACTGGAAACCATCCCTCACCAGCTCTCAAACACCCCTGTCTCAGGTAGGCGTTTGAAACGTTTCAGCATCGCTACGTTTGCACAACCACGGTCATTAATTCTGCGGCGGCTTCGCTCTGTCATGCAAACTCATTAATCAGGTATTAATGTGCAGTTGTTTTATCCTAAACCAGAAACTCCTTCTGCAATCAGCAGGAGCATTTGATAGCAGCCAATTGTAAATGTAAAAAAAAAAAAAAAAAAAAAAAAGGCAATCCAAGGTCCAGGGCACACTTGTTATGCAGCAGGCTAAATCACTGCCTACTTGGGGGGGTTAATTTATAGCATTTCATTAAATCTGGCTAGGGACAACAATGAAACACAGCTAACAATAACAGTCCTTCTTGAAACCTGTATCTGCCTTCCACATTCCCGTTAGAATTTTCAGTAAATTTTAAATATAAGTTAAAAAAAAAAAAAATAATCAACTGAAGGTACCAGTGCTGAGAGACTTGACAACAAGGAAGCTTTATTAATAGGTAGGTATTTTTCAGAAAAAAGGGTTATCTAGGATCACACGCTGTAACTACGCATGGTTTATAGTGTAATTGGTAGCTGAGCCACTTAGGTAGAATTTTTGACCTTTAGGTTAAACGATCTGATATTTGTTATACGCCACTTGAACATCAACAGAATGTACTTGAGGCCTGTGGGGAAAAAAAAATAAATCTGCATATATGTATATGGTTTACCTTGACCTCCAGTAATTTAAACATTGAATTCAAGAGTTAGTTGCTTCGGTATTGGACAGGGCCATACAACTACTGCCTTCAGAAAACAACTGTTTCCAGCTAATTCTTTTTCAAGGAAAAGGCCTTCTGTAAACTTCTAAAAGTTCCTTGAAGACTCAATGAATAATATAGTCCAAATTCTGCAAAGAAAGCCCTAATTTCTCAAATGTACTTTTGTCACACCAGGGGAAAGTTCAGAAAGCCGTTGGCCAAGCGATACGTGGATTTGCACGAAGTATTTCACTTTTCACGACATGTTTTGCCAGCTGGACATCACAGGGGCGGACAGACCACAAAGAGATCATAAAACTAAAAATCAAATCCTCTGTTAACTTTAAATCTTTAGTTGATACAAAACCCAGTGTGGTTTCAAGGTAAACGTGACTGTGGGCGAACGGTTCCAACGTCTGAGCGTGGAGCAGGACGGTTCTCACGTCGGTTCAGTGACAAAGTCTGATGGAGCACAGGCTCCCCAGTACCAACACGAAGCCACGTCTTGAGAAGAGCTTTCCACCAGCTCTCGAAGTGCCGAGCAACGGTTTCTCCGGGCTCTTTGCAGCGCGGCTCAGGGACATCAGGAATAGCCAACGCTTCAGTAGAAGCTGCAAAGACCTTCGGCCTGGGCAACTGCGTAACGACAAGTCCAAAGGAGAAATCTTCTCCTAGCATCTCACGTTACGAGCTGACTTATCCTCCATAAAACCACGCTGTTTCTTCCTCCACAGAACACCTATGGAAATTCCCAGCGCCACTTAGGCATTCGATTCTGTTTATAGTACTTTTTAGCTCCTAGCTTCAGTCTTAGGCCTCAGCTGGAGTCCTTTTTACAGGCTAAAGTTGTATTTTTCATCTACGCCTTTGAAACTTGGTGTCTTTTAGTTTCGCCGCACATCACATCGAACGCAACGACACAAGAAAGGCTAAACTGGAGCGTTACGCTTCTCCGCTTTCTTCATTTTTTTAAAACCACTTACTGTTTTTAAGATCACAACACACCCCATGATACTAAACCCTGCTCACCTACCAGAAATAAACTTCATAAATATTATCTTGTAGAGTTTATTTTCCTTTTATAGAGTCCTAAAGGATCTAAGTTAAGATTTAATACTTTGGCTTATGCTTGAGAGCACACGGATAAATCACAGGAACCCTGCGAGCAGGACAACTCTGCTCCACCAACAAAGGTTCTTTGAAAATCGCCCTCCGATGCACGTTGGTGAAACTCCGCGGTTCAAAGCACAGTGCAGTAGTTTGGCTTCAGGAACTGTATCGCATCTGTTCCCGTGTCGACATGCTCTCGATTGACACAGCTCCTACGCAAATTTAAGAAAATAAGGCTCCTTAAGGTGGAACCTCTTAAGTTGTATTTGAAGCATGGAGCCGCATCTTTAATGATGATTTGTGAATGTCAGCAAAGAAAGGGGAAGGAAACGTAGAAAATACGAATCACATGAACTGTATCACCATCCAATTTCCTGACGAGATGGAGGGATGAAACGAGACTGCGTTGCACAGGTGTACCCTTGTGCCAAAGAACGGACACAAAGACAAGATTTCTGTGTGCAAGGCTGCGTAACGGAGGAGCTCCGATGCAACTGGGTGAACAGCCTCAAACACTCAATAAATAACACAGCTTCTAGAGATGGCCACGACAAACAACATACTGGCTCCTGGTCAATAAAGTCACCAAAGACCTGACAGAAATACGGCAGCTTCTTGAACAGCACAGCTGCAAAAAGGTTTTGCCTTTCTTACAATTAGCAGTTGTTCTTGTTCAACAGGGTAGTACCGCATTCGAGATTGAAATAAAGAACGAAAAGCAGGACTTGAGTTCTCCAAACATCATGGGGTAAAAATGAGGAGAGCAAACGTTCCCCACCTTACATCCTTTCAGTCAAATGCTTTTTCCAACGACTAATTTTGAACTGTATTCCAGCATTACATGTTATTTTTGGTCCACAGTAAAACTGCTTGACCAGTGGCCACCAGCACTGAGAACGGTGGGAGTATTTCATTTACCACCAAGGGTGGGTTTTTAAGCATTTAACCAATGAGGCTGCAGCATTATATAAATCACTCCTGAAACATCCTCTGCACGACTCAGGAATGTGGGTTCATAAATAACTTGCCTTTAGAGGAAGAACACACACGTGTACGTCTCTGAATTTCCATAATCATCACACATACATACATCTTTTCATTTCTTGTTTGGAACAAGAGTGCTCTGCAAGAGCATAAAGGCAACTCCACTCGCTGGGTATTTTAACAACCATTTCCTCTGAGTGTCATTTCAAATGTGAAATATGCAGTCAGCATTTTTGAGGCCTCCAGATAACTCTGAAAATTAAAAAAATCCAACCAACCGACTAAAAAAAATATCCAAACCAATAAACCAAACCCCGAATCTAGGCTCCAAATCAAAAGAGCAGATGAAAATGAAGGCAGGGATATCATAAAACTGTTGTTATGTATTTTGCATCCATTTGAAAATGAAGGCAGGGATATCATAAAACTGTTATATATTTTGCATCCATTCAGTTCCCAAAGGAAAGGTTCATTATTGACTTCATAGGAACAGAAAAGGTTGTAAAACGGCAGTTAAAACCGTCAGGGTAAATATTTTCCCGGCATGACTCACCCCACAAACTCAGATTCTGCTGCTGGCTGGGGAGAAGCCGTTAGGAGCACATCCCTCATTAATGCCTTACTGGCTCCTCGAAAGGTAACCCCACAACCGTCCCGAAGCGATTGCTTTCGGGTGAAGTAAGGACAAATTTGTCACCGTGCCCGTGCTTCCACGGCGGAACTTAACTCTGGAAGCGTTTGCCTTCCGTCCCCGAGCCGGCCCTTCCGCTCGCTCACACGCAACACCCTGTCTCAACCTCTCACACACACACGGAAGAGACCACAAAACCAACCGCTCCCACTAAATCATAGAATCATGGAATGGTTAGGGCTGGAAGGGACCTTCAAAGGTCATCTAGTCCAACCCCCCTGCAAGGAACAGGGATATCTCCAACTAGATCAGGTTGCTCAGGGCCTCGTCCAACCTGGCCTTGAACGTCTCCAGGGATGGAGCATCCACCACCTCTCTGGGCAACCTGTTCCAGTGTTCTACAACTCTCATGGTAAAAAATTTTTTCCTAATATCCAACCTGAATCTACCTCCCTCTATTTTAAAACCATTACCCCTTGTCCTATCACAACTGGCCCTCCTGAACAGCCTCTCCCCATCTTTCTTGTAAATCCCAAAGAATCTTGGAAGCGATGGTTTAACTGAGCAGGACAGATGTCGACTCAGTCCGGGCACCTCCACCAAAAGCGGGCACACCTCTACACCGTTTTGTCAGCGCTTGTCTGTACTCTCAGCTCTCACTTTACCCTGACTTGAACACGAAACACCTTCTCCCTGACACAACACAGCCCCGTTAGCGTTGTCGAAACTCCAGTACCTTGTACTTGGTGTTTGCAGGAATATTGGTTTTCCAGCGAACTGTGTAGTAGCGAGCGTCTGTGATCTTCTGGTTCTTCGGCAGAGAGTTGTCTGCCCAAGTGATCCGTATGGTGTCATGGCTCAGGATGGAAGCCTGAACTCCCACCGGTGGCATCATGGGAGACGGATCTGGCACTGGAGTGTATGGAGCATTAATAACAAACAAATCAACTTCGGAAGTGTCTAGGGAATTGATGGGTAAAAAGTAGTGTATTATAATTAAAAAGGGAGACGGTGGCATTTTAATGTAAACAAAAACAAAAAAGGGGAAATGCAGGGTAGTACAATGGAATGAGAGGTGAGAAATGGAGAAAAAGAGAGAAAAGCCAGAGTTAATAGGTGACATAAGACTGGCAAATCAAATTACTCTTGCATCGCGTTCCTTTCTTACGGCAGTAAGGCAACATATATATGCTAATATATATACACCCCCCTAATCGTGTAAGTGTTCAGTACGTTCAACCACGGCCTAAGAACCCCAAACATACAGTAATTTTGACTTTAATTCCCTCAGAAGGTCCACTGATTCCTCTTCCAGAAAACAACGAGGAGGAAAAAGAGCTGGACAACTTCTGGATGGGTAAATGCCACTTCATAACAATTACAGGGAACTCCATCATCTTTTAAAGAATGTTAATGGCAACCGAGTTCCGAGTATCATACAAATTTGCAATAACTGAAGAAACTGCAATTCCAATGTCCTCTATAAAATCTATGAGGGCTCCTGCTCTTCAGAAGGCTAAACCAAACAGAAGCGTTAGTGTCTACGCAAAATAACGAAGTAACGTCAACAGTCTAGTGGGGAGCACAGTGAGCCATAGCATAGAAACAGCTCACTGGCAAACAAATTTCTCTGCTTAAAACCTTTTATTAATAAATTACAAGATTAAACAAAATATGCCAAGAACTTGTTTAGTGTAAGTGACAGCAGATTTGAGACTTAGACGAAGAGAACGCGGGCATCAAATTAAAAATCTCAGTGTAAAAGACAAAAAAAACCAAGTAAATCTACACTTGTCCATAAAAAACAGAGCAATGCCTTTAGAACTGCACCCACACAATCTGTGCCAACAGTGGTAACTTTTTGAGCAGGAGCATCAGTGGGTAGTTGAAAGGTGAGTTTTGCCATTTCCAAATGAAACCAATTTTAGGGGGTTTAATAAAGAGACAAAACACGCGAGGCAGTCCCTGGAACAGTGAGGCCAATCAGTTAAAGAAACGGAGCGCACTGGATGGCACTGAAAAACACCACTCTTGGCTCACACGTCACGTTTTTGGCTGCTGTGCTTGTTAATTTTTGGCTGTGCAGGACGGCAGAGCAGCCCAGGGCTTTACCTGAGTGAGGCCGGGTCACCGCGCTCTCGTACAGAGGGATCCCTTCCCCGACGTTGTTAAACGCCTTCAGAGTTATGACATAGTGGGAGCTTGGGTCTAAAGGGGGGAAAAAAAGTTAAATATCTTTTTAGTGCAAACTGTTAGTGACTCCTATTTTCCACTTCTCCACATTCTCTTTGGTATTTTGTTTTTCGACTGAAAGACACGAAATAACGCAATTTGAAATGAGGAAGTCTCCATGCAGACCTCCTGTTAGCGTGCAACAGTTCTCATGCAGCAAAAATCTCTAATTACAGCAAATCTACCTTAAGTGCAGTCAAAATAGTAGTGAGGAAAAACATTTCAAAATGAACATTTTAAATTGCTCTACTATAATATTATCCAAAACTCCAATTTTATGGAGCTTCTCAGTAGTTCACAAAACTGGTATTTATTTTGCTTTCAGGGAATCTTACCTACCACAGAGAATTCTGCGGAGCAGCAATCTATATTTTCCTTTTAAAGTAGATGCCACTGTATCTTGGTGATATTTTAGTTTCTTTTTTTTTTTTTTGTTTTTTGCCTGAAGCCACCTGTTCTGCAGCTCCAGAAGGAGAAAAAGGGAAAAATGCTGCTCAGCATGAAAGTTTTTGTAATAAGTGTTGAAGGGAAAGCATCAAATCAAAATGCACTGTGCTTCAAACTCAGTGAATTTAGGCTTCTGGGTCTGGGGTTTTTTTTATTCCTCTGCCTCTTTATCAGCAGAAAACTGAGTTTATTTGAAATTTATCAACAGTTTGGCATCTGGCATAGTATCTGAATAAGGAAAAAGATCCTCTTAAAAACCTACTTGTTTTTTTATTTATTTATAATACCACAGTCAGTAAATTGACAGTTAATTCCCTTTCCTTACCCAGGTTCTCAATGGTGTAGTATCTCTGCTTGTAGTCCACCTTGATGGTCTGTGCGTGCGGGCTGCCGATGCCGTACCCTATAGCGTAACCTCGCACCACGATGTTCTGGTTCTCGGGTGGAGTCCAGCTTACCACGATACTGGTGACAAGCGGACGGACGTGCAAGGAACTTGGAACTTCCGGAACACGAGTTTCTGGTACGGAAAAACGATGCGTTTCAAGGATTTCTCTTAATTAAAGGTAATTACACGAAGAGCTGTGAGCTGGTAAGGTCAAACGTAGCACTGCTACGTACTGAAGGGAGCACGCTCCACAGGAGAGAGCGTTATCGTACGAGAGAGCAAAGAATTCTAACAAGCAGAAGAAAATCACCATGGTTTCATATCCTAATATATCTTAATAGATCTTCTTTTTAAAAGAAAGGAGAGTCGTAGTGAAGAAGAGTCTCAGATCTGCGGCGAGGCAGGCCTTTGGGATGTCTGTCCACGTTCTTTCCCATTTGTAATTTTTCAATATACGCATTGCGTTTAGCACGTCCTTGCCCTCCTCCAAGCAATCTACTTTTAGTCCCATCATATTACTCGTGGGCATTAATATAATTATATTGAAAACACAGTGATGATGGAAGAAAAGGTTCCTGAGCTTGTTGTAGGATTAAATAGAATTCTCCAAAGCTCTATATATGTCAGTAAACTGGATGTGTTGCAAAGGTTTGTTGTGATTTGTCCTATATTTGTCACTGTTTAAATCCTTGAGTCTCTTCTACACAATTCACAAAGTACATGCAGAGACTACACGACCGTACCACGAGATCAAAAACTACTCATCGAGTCCGTAACACGTGTTCAAACACTACCCCCACAAGCAACACAAACCTAATCACAACCCAAGAGAGATGGAATGTGGATCCTTAATAACAGAAGGACTTGCACGATATTCCACTGTAATCCCCTAATATTTTTACTAAAAGGATCTTTTTCCCAGTGATGATTATAACCTAAAAGCAATCTAAAAGCACAACCGTACTCGCATCTTTGTTTTAATTTTATTTTTGTTTTTATTTCATTCAAAAATGAAATAAATACTTTTGTCAGGCTGCTGGAGCCCGCCGTATGTTGACGGATTTTAAATAATTCTGGGCCATGGTAGGCTGAGTTCCCCACTCTAAAATCAAACGAGTTCAGAGAGTTTTGCTTCCTGCAGGGATTTCATTTTAATGAAACATGCTGCATTTATCTAAAGACATTTAATAAAGCACCACAACAGGATTATTCGGATCATAATATGCCATTGGCCTCCTCGCCCAGGGAGTTTATGGTCTCCAGCTGACACAGCTGATCGATTAAAGTTCACAACTATTAAATACAGAAAAGCTACAGAATTGCAATATAAGAGATGACATTTTTAACTGCGCAGAAGTTAGTGCGCTGGGAATAAACTTTGTGCAACTGTTTAACACCTTTTGCATACGTGCTCCTGGTGGGACTTGCACCGACTCTGCAAAATTACCCAGCCCTGCTCACACTAAATGCAACGGTCTGGCTCCCATTTACATTGATGGCACCATAAAGCGAATTATTTTCTGTTTAAATTCAAAAAGCAGCCATGGAATAAAAAGGAATTATGCCTTACGTGTCTATTGAACCTGAGAAATTAAAGATTGGCTGTAAATACGTTTGCATGGCATTAAAATTACCCACACGAGCTTACTGAAGAAAGAAAAGCAAAAAATATACACCTTCTTTTCAGTATGCACGTACACAACTATCTCTCACACGAACATGATATAAATACCATGTTTCATTGTCTTAACTGTGAATTTTTATTACTTTAGTCATTGTAAAGCTTTAAGAAAGTTAGATTTTCTGCAGGGGCTGCAACTTTTCAATTTGAAAAAAATTCAAATTGTAAGAGCAACACAGAACGAAAGGGTTCTTTTCTTCTCCCTCCTTCTGCCCTATTTAACGCAATCCTGACGCTACCCTCTGGTGCAGCGTTGTTAACTGGGATTCAAGAGCAGCGTGCGTTTTCATCCCCGTGAGTGCGTGCTGCCTTTGTACAGAGCTCCACCTCAGCCCGGGCAAGGAGTGCTGTCCCAAAGCTGCATGGCTGTGTCATAGAATCATAGAATGGTTTGGGTTGGAAGGGACTTCAAAGATCATCTAGTTCCAACCCCCCTGCCATGGGCAGGGACACCCTCCACTACACCAGGTTGCCCAAAGCCTCATCCAACCTGGCCTCGAACACCTCCAGGGATGAGGCATCCACTTCTCCTCTGGGCAACCTGGTCCAGTACCTCACCACCCTCAATGTAAAGAATTTCTTTGTTATATCTAACCTAAATCTCCCCTCTTTCAGTTTAAATCCATTGCCCCTTGTCCTATCACTACACATCCTCGTAAAAAGTCCCTCTCCAGCTTTCCTGTAGGCCCCCTTTAGGTACTGGTGTCACCTCCACTTAGAGGGAGCCAGACACACCGATGAAAAGAATTCCAGCCCTACAAAGTAAATCCTAAGTACCTCCAGAACTGAACTCGAGTGTTAGCACTGGGCTCTGCGCCGTTCCTGGAGCGACGGAGGACGAGCGTTCAGCTGAGCACCGACTTTGCGGAACGCAAAGGCTGAAGCATGGGCTCTCCAGGGCTTTGACCAGCTGACTGGTGGAGCAACCTTCCACCGGCTCCGAGCAAATATTGAAGTTCTTTTACTGCTCTGTCTTCCAGCTGCCAGTATAACTGAATCTCAAGCCACACAGATGTGAAAGACATTACTGGATCCTGCGGCGTTAGGCTAGAACGACCCTCTGGATACTCTAACAAAGCCAAGAGGGAGACCCGCCTGCAATGAGCGTTCAGGAAACCCGGGTGCAACAGCACTCATTAAACACTTTTCTGAAACAGGAACAGTCTGCCCAGAGCCACCAGCTCCACGCAGGCAGTTCCAAAGAGATCCACCCCAGCCGTCCTTTTCAAAACCAGCACTTCTTAATTTCAGTTGCTTTGAGTCAGATTCTGGGAGATGCTCACAAATTTGCTCCTTCGAATTCTGCAAGAATCAGGTTCCTACTTGCAAATTACTCTCACGTAGTAAATACCAAACACCTGGACCAACTCTCAAAAGGTCAACATTTTTCACAGAACATTTTCTACTTTTATTGTTGAACTCTACGCTGGAAAAACAAGATGTTATCATGGTTCTGTATACCACATTATCACGAATCGACGGCTTTAGTGGAAGAGACTTCATTTCTGATAGAAGATACAGTCTCTACCAGTCTATCAGTATTGAAAATATAATTAATCTCCATTTCTTCTAAAGTGGCAAAATAACAATTACTGGGGTTCAAATGTTCCTTTAGAAAAAAAATCTAAGCAAAAAAAAAAAAAATCAGGAAAAATATTTTAATTGAGCATGATACCAATGAAACGTAGCGGTAAGATAAAGGTCTATAGGTGACAACAATGTTTTCCACTGTTTCTTTCCTGCTGGGGCATCTCCCTCACATTCAACTATGTTCACAGCTCCAAGGCTGCAACCCCAGCGCAGCCAACTGGTAACCCCAGTTACCCAACTGGTAACCCCAGTTACCCAACTGGTAACTACCAACTGCAGCCGACGGGATGGCATCCCGTCAGCCGGCGCGCGGCACCTCCGCACACCAAATCCCCGCTCCGAGCTCTGCGAGGTGTAACTTCAGTGGTTTCATTAGCATAACTGAGGTGCTACAGAAATACAGAGTCACTGTTTCACTTCCCTCAAGCAAAACAGTCCTCCGACCTCTGTTTCATACCGTGTAAACTCCTGCATAATTAACACGATGAATTTTATTAACAGTATAAAACCGGAGCCATTATTACTATTATATGAATCTTATAATGAATTGTTGTTTAAATATTGAAACACTGACATTGTAATTCATAATTGGGTATTTCTTAGCAGAAAAAAACCATACAGTCAACATACTGTACTAGAAAGTGTAGAATTTCAAGCCATTTAATTGACGTGGAAAGAACTGTATGTTAAAACAAAAACTATTTTCACTTATACCTTAAATGAAGCCCATTGTATAATCAGAATACGGTAAAAACAATTGAACAAAATCAGGTTTGCCTTTTAAAAAAGGCAATGAGACTTCCCTGTGCCCTGCCCGTGGATGCTAACGTTTCGATGTCACAAACAGTCACAGTCAGGATCTTACCATCGAGGTCGCTCTCAAACGTCTCTGCCGATACCCAGTCGGTCGCTGGTCCAGTGCCATTGACAGTCAGGGCCGCCACGCGGAAGCTGTATTCCGTACCGCGTTCCAGCCCTACGGGACAGGGAGCACCCAAGATACCAAAGGGAACCCCAGCTGTGAGCACAGCAATCACAGTTCCTCATTAAAACACAGGCATAACCTGATGGTAAAATGCTTTTTCATTGCCACTGGAGCACAACGCTGGTCAGGAATGGCAACAGCACTGCCCCCAGTTAGGGTGGGACAGCTGAACTGTGACCGGAGACACCCAGGGCTGGGACACAGCAGGTTGTCCCCGAAGGGCACTGGCAGACACCGTGAGGTACTGTTTGCAACCCGCTTTAATTTCTGGCTACTAATTAGTTTTAAGTCCAGAACCACCCACATCCATAACTAAACAGAGGTGTAGAGTATAGACAAAAAGTGACCAAAATGAGCCAATAGTTGGTTTACGGTACACGAGAGCGTATAATCAATAACCTAAGCAGTATCAAAACACACTTAAAATTTGATATATGGAACTTGACAAACAGGCTGTGTTGCTGGCAAAACCATACTCTAGTTACAGGCACAGATCAGCTCCTGCTCTGAGGAAACTGAAACTTACTGAGTCACAGCTGCAGTTCCTGAGAACAACCCAAAACATCTTGTTAAAAAGTGCACTTTCATTTTCTAGAGGGGCACAATTTCTTCTCTTTTGACCAACTGTTCATTTATAGAGATTTTAAAAAAAATGAACAATATGTAGTCTTGCTCCTGTTCTCACATACTGTTTATTTTTGCCATACAAAATCCTAGTTCTGGTAACAATATATAATTTATACCAAGTAATGCACTAAGTTGGATTTTTTAAGTGCACAAAATAAAGAGGGATATATGATGTCCATGCCAGAAAGAAGGAAAAAGGTTGATGTCAGTGGAACGAGGTGGGATGATTTGCACAGACACCTGTGGTAAGAAGTTGGCAGGACGCTGAGCCGGGCTTGTTGGCGAGCATTTCAAGAGACAGCACACCTACAGGACATCCTACATGCCAACAGGTGAGTCTGCCAAAGCCCCAGCCAGACTGCATTCCTCTGGCATCCTTCTCCAGACTTTTATTTCTGGCACGCACTCCAGAGCGCGCTGTGCGTGCCCTTCTCCATGCAACCCTTTCATAAAGGGTTCATTTTTATGAACCATAAAGTTCATAAAGTCCAGCCCACTTAGGAAATCAATGGCAAAACGTGGGCTAGAAAACAGGTCACTAGACTTCGGTCACCACTAGCCAGCCCATGCTGCCTCGTAACCCGCAGACACTGATTTTAAGTGTTTTCATTTTCCCTTCCAAGGCAAGAACCCTACCATAGACATCTCTCAGCCTCAGCCCACCAGAAGCACTGACAACCCCTGCTGATACCAAACGCTCACCTTCGATCAGCTGAACAAGCTGGGTCCCACCCACGCTCTCCGTCACGTCGCTCTTGCGGGACACCTTGCGGTAGCGGATCTTGTAGCCAGTGATCTGCCCGCTGTGCGTCCCCGCCGGAGGCGGCTGCCAGTGCAGCATGATGCTCTGCAGAAGGCAGAAGGTGGTTACAAAGGCACCGCTTCCCACGCAGCCAAAAAAGCTACTCGAGTGCCAATGCTCAATGAAGCACAAGACAAAGACATGCGTACAGAAAATACTGCGTTTTCGTACAGAAAACCACAGGCTATCGGTAAAAAGGACAAACCCTACGATTCAACGGCAGCCCAGGTCACACATGTGCCTAGAGAAGTTCACCTCCAAGCACTTCAGGCCCATCAGACCTTCTGATTCCAATTTCACAAACAGCCCCTTGGGCTTCCCTTCCATTTTCTTCAGGTTATCTTAAGATATGGTTTACTTGAGGATCTGTCTTTAAAAACTGGTATTTTCCCTAAAAGGTACAAGTTATCAGAACTATAGTTTTTGTGCAGGAAGTTATGTACTTTCAATCACACAGGCAGCAGCAGAGGTATTTGGAAAAGAAATTTTAGAAAAGGCTTTTTTAAAAAAAAAATCCCCAATCATAATCACTAAAGTCATAATGATCAAGTATATTAATCTTCTCTTTTAAGGTGCCCAGAACACTGTATGTGTGCACACACACTGCAAACAATAGTTAATCAACAAGCCCAATTAAACCCCTTTCATAATTAGCCTCCACGCTTTGGTACATCGTCACTATCTTCACTGCATTCCATTAGGTACAATCCACAGCTGGACTGGAGTTTCCAATGCTTCAAGCACCACGTTCAGGTATCTCCTGTTGGGCAACTCCTACACAAACAGCTGGAAAAGCAGCACCGTAGAAAAAAAGACCCAAAGCAGCTCTAAAATGTGGTTGATCTAAGACCCACCAACCATTTATTCACCCTTTACGAGCAGGAAATTCTCCACATCTTACCTTGGAATTCCGTACCTCCAGCGTTAGATTCTGCGGTGGAGCACTGGGGACTAGAAACATTAAGGGAATTACAACTCCAAAATTTCCGTATACTCTATCAGATACTGCATTTCCATACACAGCTACTCAGACGTCACTCATTACGAAAGTACAAACAGTTCTGGTTTGAGATGCTACACAAAGTAACGACAAAATTCTGCCAGAGGTGCTTTATGACACGCCGTGACTACCTTAGGAGGTTAACGTATCTTCATGAGAAAGAACAAACTCAATTTTTATTCAGGCCTTTACCTTCCACAGGTATCTAAATAAAAAATGCCTTATATTTAAAGGTACTTCCCATAAAACCTAAGAAAAGGGATGGCATTCACTACCTTTCAAAATCAAATCTTTAATTTACATGCTGGATTCTGGGAGTCCACAGTTAAAAATCTCGCCAAGGATTTTGTTATCGTGATTTTCTGTAACAGGAAAACCTCAGAGTCAACACGTCCCTGTGCTCCCGAGGAGGTGAAGTGGATCGCAAAGACGGTTTCTGCTTTTAAACCTCCGTTCTTTGCTCGTTCTTTACTACCTGTAGCAACTTGCTGGTCACGACAGTGGGAGCCCATCAGACAAAGGCACAGCAAGAGAGAACGTGGGACCAAGGAAACCCTTGGCGCAGCACTCCAGAGTCATGCCCATTATCTCAAAGGCACAGCTAAGGGCTCCCTGGCAGGAAGGTGAGACTCCAGCAAAGCACGAGGACAGGGAAGCAGCACAGCAGGGCTGAACATTGCTCCAGCCTCAATGCTGGATTTCCCAAATAACTCACACCAGCCACAACGATACCTAAGAAAACACTCTCGCGTGCATAAAGTGAAAGTAGCCCTGCCATAAGTGAAAGGTACACTGGGGTGTGCTTAGATAAACACCCCTCTGCCACTACCCACAACAGAAATGGTGACAATGAGGATTTGGTTTTCCTTCTCTCTCTCCAACTGAACTGAGTCTGAAATCACCAGACCTTGGGATTAAGTGCTACGTCCTCCAAAAAGCAGGAACGCAGGTTAAGTGGAGGGAATGAAATAAAGCTAAGCTTTTTTTTTTTTCCTGCTGCTTATTTTATGCATTCGGTGCCTGCTTTCAGAACAACTTTTAAAAAGTCAAGGGTTTCACAAGGAGCGACTGAGCATTAACGCACGCAGTGCAAACGTGGCGGAAGACAATCAGTAGGACACAGGAAAGGATACAAGCATGTAAATATATTCATACACCCGCATCTCACCACCTGCACAGTTTATGTCAAAGTAGGCTTAGACTCAGATCAGATTAAGAATTTAACAGATAAAATGGATTTCCTATGGGCTGACATTCGATAGGAAAGGCATAGCCCAGTCTGGCAGGAGAACCGGCAGGAGAAGAGAAGCAATCCTCAGGAGCAGCACGTAAACCTTGGTTTAACTGTAATACCCGAAGAGCTAGCCTGCAACAAACTACCATTAATGGATTAGGAGCAAAAACCTTCTGCAAAGGTAGAAGCTCATTAAATAGAAGGTGAAGTAAGCTTAGAATGAAATCCCTGCAGGAAACATGGAGATTGCTTACGGATACCACAGCAAGAAAACACAAAAAGAAAATGTGCATCTTTCATCCAGAAAGACTTGAAAGATTGAAGAGCACAGTTACGGGTTTTGAGACTGTTAGAAGCAAGATGACATCCTTCAGAAAGCTGTAGAAAGTAAATTTCAATAGGTTAAATGTCAAAACGTAAGTTGGGCCAGAAAGAACTTCAGGAAAACTTGAAGGCCATGTAACGATCTTCTTTGCATTTGTCCTGAGTGGAAGGAAGAGACGAGGTTGCCATGACACCCTGCACTAGGGACTTACAGGATCTCTGGAACTCAAGTGTCAGTAGAAAGGATTGTGGAAGAGTTGGGAAGAAACAGCAGCGTGTTGCCGGGGTTACACGCTATTCATCCAGGATTTTTCAAGGAACTCAGGAATGAAACAGTTGCATGACTTGTAGTAGGCTGTAACATCTCGCAAATTATCTCGATACTGGGAGATGGGAACTTTGATGCCGGTATTTAAAAGGGGTTCCGCTTCAGAAAATACTGGAAACTTCAAGTAGTAAGTCAGAAGCCTGTAGCAGGCAAATAAACTGAAGCCATAATAAAGCATGAAATTGGCAGATACATGGAGGAATAATCCATATTTTTCACTTTTTCAAGGAAAATCCTGTGTTGCAAACCTGCTGGAGAGCTCTTAAGAAACGAAGCAATGAGAGGAAGCCCTTGCCTGAGTAAACAACTGCTGAAAAGAAAGGAAAGAGCAGGTAGGGACGTACGTGGTGGGAGATGACCTGCGGAGCTCCACCGCGGTACGTGCAGAGACCTCTGGTACTCAACACATTGGTAAGTGATGAAAGAGGGATGGAGGTGACAATGTTAGTACAGACAAGAGCTGATGGTAAAGAACTGCAGAAAGACCTCGGGACATTTTGCGCCTGGATTTTAAAGTGACAGGTGAAATTCACGGTAGGTAAAGTCACAAACATGGGAAAAATGATCCTGCCTCTATATGCAAAATGGTGGCTCTAAGCACACCAATTCCAGCAAGATCAGTCTACCCCAAAAATGTCACCTCAGGGCTCAGAATGAGCCAAAAAAGTCAGTCAAGTGCTAGTAATTACACATCTTTGATAGAATCCTACTCCGCTCTACCTCCCGTTTTCAAAAGCACGTAGGAGAAAAGAAACCTAGAAAAAAGTTGAGAAAATTGAAACAGCTTCCACAAAAGAAACGGCCAACCACTTCTGGGACTTCAGAATCTGCAAAAGAGACAAACGAGGGAGAAACCAGCAAAGGTCTATAAAACAAGGAGTGGGACAGAGAGGGCTGGTGCACACTGACTGTTCTCTCTTTCGGGCAGTACAGCTGTTGGCGACAAACGACGCCAACATAGAGCACGTTCAGAACAGTCCAAAAGGGGTGATTCTCCACAGACGACTTAGTCGTAGGATCTTTGTCCACTTGACGTTGTGGATGATAAAAGCTGGTGTGGGTTGAAGAGGAAGCCAACAGGGTTCATGGCAGAGAAACTGAGTTATGACATACGTAGGATTGGGGACAACACTCTCCTCTGCCCGTCTATTCTCCAGGTCATGCCTGGACAGAGGATTCCAGGCTGGGCTCATTTTTGGTCTACTGTTCTTTATATAAGCATAAACTTCTCTAAAGACCCAAAATTGAACATTAACTCTGATCATTTCTAATTGTTCACATTTGCTCACGTTACCTCTTCACTTGCCCTCCAGAAAACGCCGTCACCGCTTCCTGCTTTCAGTATTACATGTGATGGATTTAATTGCGTCTGCGCTGGAGTTCAAAGACAGACACGCAACATTTTCCCTCACGACCTCAATTAAAACAAAACCACTCCAAAAGTGAAAGTCTGCTCCTATGTAAAAATATTATAGAAGCTAAAAAATTCATTTGGAGTTGTTGCTTTCAACATAATTGTGTTTCTGTCCACTCCTAATACTTTGTAGACTCAATAACCCATGAAATAAACTCCTGATGTTGAAATGAAGGACACTGTTGTTTCATAATCAGAATCAGGTACAGTAATTTTCCTTCACCTAATTTGGAAAGCCTCCGGGGGAACTTCCAGCACGCGCGGCCACATGCAACAACATTATTAATAAAATAGGGCAACAATGGACAAAAACCCTAACAGTCTTTCTGGTTAAAAATTCACTTAAAGGAAATTACTACATAATTCCTGAGAAGGAAAAAAAAAAAAAAGGAATAAGGAATAAATCAGCTTACCATCTGAGAGCGTTCGTACAACAACATCTTGGGTCGAGACTCCGGGACCGTGTTTGTTGTAAGCTACCACTCGGAAAGTGTACTCGGTGTATTTCTTTAACCCGTTAATGGTGTAGGAGAGTCCTCCTACATCAACGTCCTGTTGATAAACAAACGTACATCCAAGTCAAGGTCAGAATCAGGTCTGCAACTGCAGTAACGAACTCAAATGACACCTTTCTGTAGCACCTGCAGATCCAACTCACAGTTTATGTGCAGCCAGGACTTGTAAAGCTGCTAACGGTGAGCTTGCAAGAGACGATTCTACCTACCCGACTGAAATCGTAACAGGGACACTGGTTCTGTAAATTAAAAGGAATCTGACAAACTTGCCTCTTAGTCAAAAATATTGCTGTGTTTTGAATAGCGGGAGGCAGAGGTAGAAAAGGTAATTTTATGTGGGGAATACAATGTTCCTGTTTAAAAACTGTGTCAAAACTTATTTTAAATGCTAACAAAAATAGTTCTCCCTTAGCTTTTTTTATAGCTTGAGTCATATTCCCATGCAAACGGATGGGAAATTCCCACTGGGATTAATCCTCCCAAAGTTGTGAATATCCTCAGGTGGGACCCGTACTTGCAGAGAACAGACTGGACTCTTCCAGTAGAATCCTAAGAGAATTTGATCAGATAGACACTCGCCACTATCGAAACATCAATCACTCGATCAAAGAACTCAAGAACTCAGAACAGTTCAGATGAAGGACGATGCTAAAATTAGTAATTACCAAAATCAAACTGGCCAAGGGTAAAACCTACACCAGCATCCTTTGCAGTGTCCAAAGCAGAACTGTTATGTGATGACACAGCTACTAGTTGAGTTTCCTCTTGTGATACGATGGACGTCCCCAAATGCTCCTTGATGCTGACGAGCACCTAAATCAGCCGTGGCGTAACATACTGCTTTAATGCCAAGGCATACAGATTTCATGCTGGATTTTTCATTGTAAATGTTTCTGAATTTTAGGCTAAAGGATTCAGTCTATCAGAAAAACGAACCCTTCACAAGGTGTTTCTAGAAATTTAAGGAAAAAACGAATAAAAGAAAAAAGGCTGTTAATGACATTGTCGATGAAGCAGGAGGAGCCAGGCTCCGTACCTGTTCCGTGTCCTGTCCCTTCTCCATATAGTAGAGCTTGTAGTTCTGGATTTCTCCGTTGCCAGACAGCGGCGTCTCCCAGGTGACAGTCACGGAGGTGGGTGAACTGGCGTACGCCCGGATGTTGGGTGCTGGGCCAGGAAGCTGAACTGAAACGTAAGCACGACACTCTGCTAGCCACCAAGCCTGACCCTTAACGTTTTCCGGAGCCAATTATTTCAGCCTCAACTCCCCAATTAATCGGTTCCAGTTAAAAGATGGTTATTTTTTCATATTTCAGGATTTCACATGGATTCATTAGTGGGGGGTAAAGGTGGCACCGAATTTCTGAAGGAGATCCTGCTCCCTGGGCCCGATTCCTTTGTCCTGAGCAATCTGAACAAATCACAGACTTTGCATTTTCTTGAGGTTTTTCTTTCTCTCTCTTTAAAGTTTTTTTTCCTTTCCATTAATGAAATTGAAAAGTATTCCTTTTATAAGAGAAAGCTTAGAGAATCTAACAAGGAATTTCTCACCAGTTCTTCCTGAAGGTGAGAATACATCCTATAAACATACCAACGTGGTATCTTGGAAAAGAATTTTGAAACTATTGTCTGCAAGTGCAACTTTTAAGAATATCAACTTATTCTGGGGCAGGTCAGGAATGCGGAAAACGATGACAACAACAACAAAAAAATCGATCCCAAAGCCAAGAGGACTGGAAATATTCCCAGCTTACCCTCAGGCTGGGTTGCCACCTTCAGCGGTACTGAGCTCTCTCCGGGGCCGTGCTTGTTCTGAGCCACGACTCGAAAGACATAAACTGTTTCTGGCATCAGGTTTTGGATCATCACTTGTGTCTCTCCAGGACGACTCGTATTTTCCACGCGTTCCCTTTAGGAAACAAAAGGTTTGGGCACGGAAACAATCACCGATTAGTGAGAGGGTTTTTGAGGGGTAACTTAAGGAATAGGTGCTATTAAGATGCATCCCGTTCGGACGTATCTAATGTGTTCATGATGTGGTTGTTGCTACTGCACGGGCTGCACAACAATAATATGGCAAAATTGCTGGTGACAAACAGCTTCTAATTTCGTGACTTCTCTCTGAAGAAAATGCACTGAAGTAAAAGAATAAATTACACTCGACATCGCAAAATTCTAAGTCGTTTCTTTGTCATTCTCCTAACAGCATGCGATAATTCACGGCCACAGTTTATCCTACTACTCTGAAGCCAGAAAAAGAAATGTTTAAGGAGCACACACAGAATCTGGCGAGATTTAAGTTGTTTTTGTTAATATTGCGAGGCTGCTTTTTGTGTATTTTTCAAAGAAGCTCTTTTAACAGATTCTACCTCCAAACTTTACTTCGTTCCTCCCTAATATTTAGATTTTTTAAAAACATCCTCGGGCTCTGACTTGCAGACAGCTGTGGCAGTTATTCTATTACCACACAAGTAGTGGAGTCAACAAAAAGCAGCGTCTGCCCGTGTCTCCGCTGCTCGCCTTCAGGCTGGCGTGCGAGCAAGGAACCATCTCCGCGGCCGTTTACACTCGCATCGTGCCGTGGGAATCGGCTTCTCAGACTGCCATGAAGATGCTCATCTCCGGCAACGCCGAGGAGGCAGCTCCAGGCTACTGGACCCCCGGGTTGGTCTTCCAGAGCCCGAGGAAAGAGCACACTGCATGGGAATCATGGAATGGTTTGGGCTGGAAGGGACCTCAAAGATCATCCAGTTCCAACCCCCCTGCCATGGGCGGGGACACCCTCCACTACACCAGGTTGCCCAAAGCCTCATCCAACCTGGCCTTGAACACTTCCAGCTGGGAGGACACACTCTGTGTTCTGAGCAAATGGAAGGATTATCATCCCGGCTGGAGAACCTCCATCGCACCTCCCGCTCACAGGAGGGGAACCTGCCGCTCCGCCCCTGCGGAAGCACGGTCTTGTGCCCAGCACAGTTCAGGAAACTCTGAACTGGGTTCTTATCAAGCTCAGGATTGAGGGGGGAGATTAAAAGATTAATCATCAACTAACTACAGCCTTTGTTTCCAACACATCGTTGTTGTCACGCAAACTTTCACAGAGCTACGGTTGGGCAGCGACAGCTACACATTGTCCTTCCTTAAAAACAAGGTACCTACGCCATGTAAATACAAATAAAAGCTGTATTACAAAAGTAAAAAAAAAAATCTAAAACTTCCCCACTGAGAAAATAAAGGGAAAATGGGACTGCTTCGAATGCAATTCTTTCCCTTTTGTCTGCCAGACTTTGTTTAGCTCTACAGCAGAGGGCAGACGATTCTCATCCCGACGATTAGCTGCTATTAAATCATTTTTAATGCAGCAGCTCAGGCAAAATTATTCCACAGTCTCTCCTCTCCTACCTTCCAGCCATTATGCTTTAGTTTCTATCACAGAAATATGATGCCCAAATCCTCATTTTAAATGTATTTCTTTTTACATCAACTAGTACAGTTGATTTAGCAGAATGTGGCTGAAAATATTTTGTATTTACACTGTATCTATACAGAGGGAAACACCACCCTTGCTGTAAGAAAGATATCTTTAAACACATTTTCTAGAATATTCTCCTTCGTGAAAGTAGAGCTAAAATGTCATTGCATCAACAGCTTCATTTATTTCGGATTTTTTAAAATTTCCATCGGTAAATGAGCAGCATCATTAAAGCCTATTTGAATTAAAATTGTTTACACAAGATTTTTCTTCTGTTAACGTTTATAAAGTACTTTTTGCAAGAAAGAAGCAGACAGAGAAGCGAGGCACACACTAAAGAAACATCATACCCACCACAGAATGAAACTGGGGAGGCAGGGAAAAAGATAAATATTTTCCCTCGCTTACTTTTCCAGTTATAGCCGGTGCAAAATGTTTGCTCGAAAATGCATTTTCAAATGGAGAGTTTCCTTTAAGACGTGTCTTAGATATAATGATGGTATTTGAAAACGCAGAATAAGTGCCAGCTGATTCACAGCTGTGGAATAACATTCACCTCCCATTGACATGCAAAATATATCATGTTTTCTGCCTCGAGTGTAAAGGCACTCACTGGTTTTATCGACGAAAAAAATCAGCAATCCGAGGTTATGATTTAAAACGATAAAAAAAAAAAAATCAAACCATTTTAATGGAAAGACAACATTTATCAAAAAATAAACAGACACGTCAAAGCACCGCAGTTTTCAGTAGTAACTGGGACCTGCACCTTCCCTCCCATCAGCACGTTGGAAATACGTGGGGATTAATCCAGCGAAGTGCCACGTGAATCTCGTGGATGCCCGTTCTCAGGGAGCCTCGAGCACCTTTGCCGGGCTCCGCTGCGCTCAGGCAGGCACGACAGGTACCAAACCAGATGGTCTCCATGAACATCGCCCTACGGAACGTCATGACTACTTTAACTCGCTCCAGTTTCATCCCCTATTAAAGGGCTTTTGTAAACTGGAGTTAAGGTTTAAAATAGCTGTTGAGGACCTCAGGGAAAAAGCCTACGGTTCCAAACCAGCAGCGAGTGGTGATGTGGAAATGTGAAGTTTAACAAAAAACCAACCTTCAGGGAACTATGAAAAAGTGAGTATCGTCTGTGCCAGCCGTGTCGGCGGCAGAGCCTGGCAGTGGGCACACGGAGACGTTCTGACAGTGCAATTACACACAATTAAACTCCATTTTCCGTGAAGCACACTACGTTCAACCACGAGTTTCATATTACTTGACTATCTCACACGTGTACCTTACCACCTCACACCAGCAATGTGCTAGCTATGTCTTTTATTTTTGTCCAAATCTTGACGGTTTGGAGATCTTCTGCCTGAGTGCTTCTCTAGAAAGTTGGACAGAATTAAACCTCCCCTTTGCCCTCCCAACACATTTGAATTTTCATACCTTTTTCAGGGGAACTGCCTGAAATCTGGAATACCTAACGGGAAATAACCATGTAACTATACCATCCGTAAGGAAGACATTAATTTCCATCTGATCAGATCACTTCTAGAGGTGCGACAACGAAGCCATGAGACACCCACTTCATTCATACGCAATCCCCACAGTAAAGGCCTCTCTCTGACATCATCAAGCCAACGTGAAGTCACGCGTCGTTTGAGGAAAGCATGACATTGTGTAGCCAGTGAAACAAGCAGAAACAAACCGCCTTCACGGCTGATTTGTTTTGCTTACAAACCTTCTGTAACATTCAACTTAGGGGCCAACATTGTTCTGCAAGCAGACATTGAATTTAAAAGGTGAAATATCTAATTTCTCCAGGGGTGGGGGCAGAGGGCAGAAGGCACCTCTTGGCAGCTGGAGCTGCTGGTGGCATCAAGGGGAGGCATGGGGCACAGGAAGAGTCTTCCATAGGAGTGTCCCGTGATTACAGGTGGGAAAAATCACGTTCCAGTCCCCTTGCAATCCTTGAGGGGCAAAGTTAAGGAACACTTTCCCACGTTTCCGTGTGTATCTCCTTTCACTGAAGATACAAAAATAAAAGGAACGTAGATCAGCGGTGGCTGAGGCCGCCGATACCTCAAGAACTGCACATCTTGTGTTCTGCAGAGAGATTTATGTGTCCTACAAGTCACAGTATGAAGATGACTCTCCACAACCCTCTAAAGATGGTTTAGAGATGTCAGAGTATCTAGCGAAGCCACTCCATGTTAAATACACTTTTTTAATTTTCCACAAGCCTGATTTAAAAGGCAAATAAATACCTAGTGTGATCGCTGCTCAAACCTAAGCGAGGAAGAGCCAACTCAAAGGTTACCAGGAGGATGCAGTGAAAAGGGTACGCGTAGGCAAAAACGTAACAGCACGAGGAGATGGTACATCTGCACTTAAAGCCACAGCAAAGATACACGGTCATGCATCATTCAAGGACTACGAAGCGACCATTTAAGCACTGGTTTATAACGCTGAGAAGGAAAGGAGGGCTGCACATCCAAGCTCGACTTCCAAATTTCTGATTTCCGACTGCTTAGGGGGGTGTGACACGCTCATCTATTTTTTTTACTCAGTAACCACGTGACATTTCTACAAGGCCCAACCAACTGGTCAAAAAGTACCATGTAACATCCCAATGGGAAACACAACTTTTTTTCTTTCCTTTTTTTTTTTTTTTTTTAAAATTTATTGTTTTCAATCTCTAGGTTCAGTGGTGGGATTTCACAGTATTTTCACACCAATCTGTGAAACGTGTGATACCAGCTGTCCTTAAACCTCAAAAACCAAGGAGTGGTGAAGTTGAGAAAATAGCGACTCCGTGCTAATAAAAGGCTTCCGGAGCCTCCTTTGAACCCTGCTCCAGGAGCGAACTTGAGCAAACAAAGATCTCGCTGAAGTCGATGAAACCACCTGCTTGCATATAAGCACCAGCTTAAGTCCTTTGCTGCGTAAACTTTCCAGGGACTACCTCAACCCAAGTCCGGAGGGTCACTGGGGCAGAACTGGAAACAGCAGTTTCTGCAGATTGTCCCGTAGTTTCCTAATTTATTCACCCCACATTATGAGCTGCCTCTTACCCTTTGTTCTGCCCGTGCTTTTGGCCCAAGAGGAATATCTCTAGATTTCTCCAGTCTTGTATGTAGTGGAAGGGGATGACTTTTGTTTCCTCAAAAGCTGTACAGGGAGAGGCATGAAGCCGTCTCCAGTAAATTACTTCCTAAAAACCCAGCGAGTAGAGCGGTCACAACTGGGGATGTGAAGGAGCAGAGGTGAGACGCAAGAACGGCTGGCAGGAGCCCACCTCCTTTCCTGGCTCACTTAAAATATCTCCAATCGGAATGACTATTACTAAAGTGAGGAAGTAGCAGAAAAACAACGATTGTGAGGCAAAGAAAACGTTACTAATTGCCTCCAGTAGTCATCATGAGCCTGGATGGTCCGTCTATCCACAGGGTTAAGAAAGAGTTGCAATTCACCGTCAGTAGTAGTGCGTTTTATCTTCTCTTCAAATGACTTTCTTAACTTTGAGCCTCACGTTCCAGTCTCTAAGCAGACAGATCATTTTCTCTTGAGTAATAAATCTGATAAGCAAGCTAATTTGCACTTAATTAAGCATTGCTCAAAATGATTGTTACCTCCAACTTCTTCAAACTTATCACAACAATTCAAAACTAATTCTCAGCAGTAGATCCCAAAAAGGGTAGACTGAACTAAACCATTAGGAGAACACGTCAAAAACTCACAAATGCTTCACGTTTCTGGAATTTCTATTTACAGGGATTACCAGGAGAGAATCAACATTTAACCAACACCTACCACATGGTTTTCTCTAGAATCAAACTACATTTACAAGGTTTTAAAGCACAAAGTGACTGCTGGCTCTCAACAGCACGTGGATCAGCTGGAGGACGATTCCGTGCCTGCTGTGGATGGCATTTATAGCAGTGTCAGTGTTCCTGAAGAGGTGTTACAGTCCAGGCTTGCTCTTCGTTTCTAAGCAGTCTGCTAAAAGCAGGTAGCAACTGTTTGCCGTCAATCAAAACCACACGCGAGCGTAGCCCATAAGAATAGGTACATGCAGCAACAAAGCAAATAAAACCCCCCTTCCTCTAATCAGGGTGCAGGAGGGATGGGAACACAACCCCTTGGACGCCGCGGCTCGTCAGACCTTGTGTGTTCAAGACTTAAAGTTTATAGCGCTTCTAAGCAAAGCTAGAGTGAAGAAGCGTCATGGAAGAGCACAACCCGTTTTTCACGTCAAGATCTTTACCTGTTTATACCTTCCTTGGTGTAGAAGATTGAGTAGGTGAGGTTGTCTCCTTGAGGGTCCGATACAGGCGTCCGCCACGTCAGTCGGATGAAACGAGTGGAGACGAGGGTGGCCACGACGTCCCGCGGGGCTGAAGGCAGTGGTCCTGTTGTAGCTGGTGCTAGATGGTCATTAGTGGCACTGGTCAGTGAAGTGGGAGGTAATGTTGGGATGGCAACATCTTGTCATGTGCAAACATTGGGGAATATGAAGGGCAAACATCACCACGGTTTAAAAAAAGAAAACAGAAAAAAAACACAAAAGAAATAAACAAAACCACGATGGGAAACAAAAGAAAATGAACACACACAAAAAAGGCCATTAAACTGAAGGCTGACATGCAGGCAAAGGTCACTACTGAAAACTAATGGGAGATACTAACGACACGTCACTGTCCAGCAAGCAGACCGGATCTCCATTGTAATGGAAGTGGCAAGGGAAAGGGAAGGGTGAAAACCGAGGATAAAATATGACCTCAGAACAGGACATTCCAGCAGCAAACAAGATTCTCATGTCTTTATAAACCAGATGTGATACCCAACGTTTACCAACGAAAAAAAACCCAACTTGCATTATTTATTCGAAAATACATCCAGCTCTCATTTTCTGCTTTACTCCATTAACATGCAGAATTCATTTATACCATTCTCAATCATCAAATTTAAGAAGTGCAAACTCATCCAGGTGGTGACACCAAAGTCAATTCCCACGGTAACATGGAACTGATTGGGTTCTACTACTGCCAACTTGGTGTAGTAGACGTGGTGACCAACTTGGTACGGCAGTGCAAACGGAGACTTTTCCCTAACTTCCACTAAGGTCACAGTTTTCTTTCCACCAGTACTTTTCCTCCCGCTCGTAACATACAATACGTCATTCTACAACGACACTAACAAGCACAAACAACTCTTGCTTCATATATAGGAAGACTTTGCAAACTTTTTTTGTGGTAAGTCATGTACATCTTGCTGTATTACTACTTTAAAGCTCGGATAAATCTCCGGGATTATTGCATTAAAAGGTTGGCAAGTTAACAGCCCAGGCTGTAACGTACGAATAGCTGTTCTCCAAATCCTATTAAAGCAATCCAGCCAGTAAATCTAACAGTAATATTCTGAGCAGCTGGACCCCAATTACCACAGACTATTACAGGAAACACAATTAGTAACAAAACCCTAAAGCTCAGGATACCCTGATTTTTTCTGGATTCTTAACTATTTACCAAGCTTAAGTGACCCAATGATATTTTCCACACGGGAATCTACGCAGCCAAATACCTTTATTCCCTTATTAATTTTGGAAACTAACTAAAATGGCTCAGATTTTCCCCAGATCGAGTTTAGGACTAGGACAGCTTTTGTTGAGAGCTACAGCATCTCCTCCTAACATACTACCAGAATACGTTGACTTGTGTCTCCACAGACAAGGAGAAATCTGCACCCAAAACCCCTGACTAATCCAGAACCCATTACCTGAACAGCCAAACCCAGAGAGCACCTTCAGGCGGCCGCACTGAGAACGTCTCAGCCGCACTGAGAAGTCTGTCACCACCACTAACCCCATTTTAAATTGGAAACAAACCTTGTCAACCAAAGCATCATTCTCACACGTAGGTCTTGAATTGGCAGAACTCTCATCTTTTCATTTCTGTGTCTTAAGCAACTACTGACGACGGTGGAAGAACAAACCGTTCGCTTTTCTCAGATTTGCACAACGGAATAAAAGTATGTGGGCAGAACTACGAGACGCTTCGTTGTTTCCTGTGAAACCCTACGTCCACACCACCACAAAGACAAGGGCGTACTTCCTGGGACCAACGACCACCAGGAATGAGGACCAGCTCCTCAAGGACATCAGCAATGTCCTCTCTCCCTCCTCGTGTGCCAGTGCTCCTGTCACCACTCTATCGCGCCTTCCACCTTTCCTCGAGCTCTCATTCGAGTTTTATCTCCTCTCTCACACTGCCCATCTTGTCAACTGGGAAAGGTTCACCCCCCCAACGAGTGCTGGTGTAAATCCAATCACCAATGTAATTACATTTCAATCATGTTTCTTCTTGCTTTCATACTAAAATCAAGGCTTTTTATTTCAATTCCTGTATACTTATAGGACTCTGAGAGACTCTCAGAGCCAGGAACATACCTATTTTGGTACTGAAAATACAGATCCCAGAAAGACAAGTACTCAAGAATATCTTCTTAATGATCCTTTCCACACTGTAACAGCCACAGATGACAATTAAGCCTTCTCCAGCAGCCCCCTCCCGATCAATACACCACCCCGTTAATTTCACATTCATTGCAAAATCTAAACTATTTTTATGTTCCCGTAATTAGATTTCTTACAGAAATGCACCACGTTTTAGCTCTTCTTCTGGACTTGGACAGGGCCCCTGTGCCCCCAGGGACAACCTGGTTATTGCAGGGAATTTCATTACACAGCTTCACCCCTTGTTCGATGGTACAGCACAATTTACCAAGGGGCAACAGCGGCATCTCGGGGCAGAACAGGTTCTGTCTGAAGTTACCAGCACTCAGAGTTACTGCTGTAACTTACTCCAACCCATAACATCACCGTTTCTGAAGGCAGTGAACACCGAAGCGTGTTGGGGACAACTTGAAGCCAGAGCTGGACGACCCAGCAGGAGAGATGCTCTCCTTCCCTTGCGATTCGTAAATAAGGAAAATTTGTTCAGAGATTCGATAGTCAATGGCAACCTTAGCTGAAATGACCCTCTGATAGTAGAATTTAAGATGTCAAGGAAACTGAGGAAGGCATTTGGTGTAATCAAGACACTGAACTACAGGAGAAGAAACTTGAGTGTGATCACAGGACATGTGCGATCCCAAGGACAGCTGCCCTTAGAGGTAATTGAGACCAGAAGAGCTCGCTGGCCTTCAGGGACAAACCTCTCACAACCCCAGAATGATCCATTTTCCTCCATGGAAGAAAACAACAGGCATGGCAAGAAGGCAGCTTGGCTGAACAGGGAACTCCTGGCCCAGCTTAAGCACAGAAAGTGTAAAGGAAGTAAAAGCAGAGACCAAAATGGCTAACTAAATGAAATAAACACTGTCCAGGCGTGCAGAGGTGGAAGTAGGGAAGTCACATCTGGATTGGGTGGTGGGGTGTGTGGAGAGCTGGCTGGCCCAGCAGGCTCCCAGCATTATGGTGAAAGGGGTGAAGACTAATGGGCAGACGGGGTAATAGTGGCACTACCCAGGGCCTGACCCTAGGACAGAGAGGGTTTCGTATCTTCATCAGTGACCTGGATGATGGGACAGAGAACATCTGCAGCAGGTTTGCGAGTTATACCAGCTTGGGAGGAGCAGCAGATACACTGGCAGAGAGAGGGGACCCTCCAGGCTGCAGAGGTGGGCTGGTGGGAACCTCAGAGTTCAACACCGACAAATGCGCAGCCCTGCATCAGGGTCAGAGGATCTTCCCAACTATCATCTCTCTGCTCCTAAATGACAAAGTAAAGTGCCAACTCAGTGTCACATTTATAGTCCTGGTTACATCAGCCAAGCTTCCCCCACGTTTAAATTTGAGCCCATGTTAACAGTTCCTATGGACTGGAGACTTACTCACTGCACCTATCTTCACTCCTTCCACATCATGTTTCCATTGAGGAACAAGGTCTGGTACTCTGCAAAAACCTCCTTGATGCCCACAGTTTTCAGCACCTTTCCCAGAGTGCCTGCTTGACTGACTTCCGTTTCATTCCAAATTTCCAGTTTCTGTTCACTTTACACTTCAATTGAATATTTTTCTCTTGCAGAGAGCTTTAATTTCCTACCCTTTATTAACTAATTACATTCATAATATTATTTAAAACCATGAAACAGTTTGAGGAATAATCTGCAGGGAAGCTGTTATAAAACCAAACTTGTGTCTTACAGCTGCATCAGCCAAACGCCTTCTGAAGAAACATCTTCTGAACCACTGGTGAACCCTTTGATCGATTGCTTCACACATTTATTTAAACCACTTAACACGTGAAGTGCCTTCATTTTTCATAAAGCAAGTTAAGATGTTTCCTATCCAGCACAAAAATTCCTCATGACCACCACTCCAGTTGTTCATTTTAACTCCAGGAAGACCGCAGGAGATTAATTTCTTCTGTATGGACTTTGAACGAAACTCCAAAGAGCAGTATCACTGCCGTTCTCCAGAACATCAGTTGTCTTTTTAGAGCTGGGATTCCTGTTCGCGCTCCGAACGCAAACCACGCGTCTTCCATCACCTCACGTTAATATTTCGGTTTCTCTTACGCGTCTCAGTAATATTGTCAGTGATGGGCTTCAAACGCCGTGTTCTTGACGCAAAAGCTGCATCTTGCCATCTTTCAAAAGCATTCTATTCCGTTAAAACGCAATACAAATATTTTTAAAATCATTCAATCGAAGCAAAATGCTGATCTTTCTCTAAGGAAAAATATTCCCCTGATAAATTTTAAAAATTCGCCTGCGTAATCTAAAACACATCCCACATACTCATGTGTTTGCCTTCCTATATAATGAAATAAATCCATCCTTCACCGAAGCGATCCGCACACGGCGCGGGAAGGACCTGCAGGCGTCAAGACGAAGAGTCTGGGAGAGCTGCCAAGATTTCCCAGATGAACAGAAACGCGGCTTTACCCTCCTGCAGGACTCAATCCCAGAAATATTCCTTCCGACAGCATTACAGGTAGGTCGGTCAGAGACAACAAAAACTAGCGGCGTCTGAAAAATAAACCGCGAACCAAACGAAGACACGAAGGACTTGTAAATCGTGCCGTGAGGGAAGCAATGAACAGGCAGGAACGCTCACCCCCTCAAAGCTGCAAGTAAATACCAGCTTGGTAGCAATTTGGCACTGGTGACAGCTGGGGAACGTATTTCGAAGACTAGGTTATTCCCTTCCCTTTCCTTTTTTCCCCCCGTTTTTCCTCAAAACGCCTTGAGTGCCATCACGAGCTGACTGGTACACCGTGGTGTGAGCGGAATGCTCAGCAGTGCAGAGCGGCGTTAATGAGTAATTACACTAAAATTAGTTTTAACGCCAATAAGGGAGCAGCTTTATTACTTCAAGCTTTTAAGTATGGTGTAACAAGTAACATGCAAAACGAGTCTCTTCTTTCTAACACGCATTTCATCGCTTTTTAAAAAGCAACTGTACTCTGGAATATTTGCAGCC